CATTAAGGCATAATACAAAAAAGGCAAAAGAGGGGGGGGGGGGGGGGGGGAAAGAAAAAAGAAAGAAAGAAAGAAAGAAAAGGAAAGTCAAATCAGTGAAGAAAAAGCAAGCAAAGAGAAAAAATCCAAAGTCGAAAACTAATAAGGGCACAAAAACTTCTACCCCCGCTTTTGTGCCTCGTCGATCCTCTTCAACGCATTCTGCACCGTAAGTATCAGCGTCCGCCGCTGCTGCCTCACCTCCTCATCACCGTCAATCTCAATCCCATCAACCTTTAAAATCAACTGCGCCATCGTTGTCTCACTTAGCTTGCGGTGCTCGAAATCCCGCGTCTTCTGGTCTGTGGGGGTATGCTCGACGTATTCATTGAGCAGGGGCTTGAGCGTGCTGTGGAAGTATTCGCTGAGGAGGGAGAGTTTGGCCTGTGGTGATTTGATTGTGTTGAGGTTTGGCGAGGGGGTAGGGAGGGAGGAGGGGCGTGGAGAGGGGTTGGATGGGGGCTGGGCCTTTGAGGAGGAGAAGGACCTGTTGGTGTTACTGTTGTTATTGTTTGTGGTAGCAGATAGCGGCGGGGTGGAGAGATTGGGGGAGTTTCTGGGGTGTGAAGTGAGGGGCGTATGCGGGGAGCGCGGAGACTGCTGGGCAGGTTGCTCGTTCATAGGTATTGGGCGGCTTCTGGAGGTGGATGGGTTTCGCGCCGGGTCTTTTGCGTCGATTGTAGTGGTATTGTTGTAGCGCTCCCTGTGACGTCGCTTTCTGCGACCACTTCCGGCTCCACCACCACTGCCACCATTGACAGCTGGAGGGGATGACCGCTCGACGATCTCAGAACCTTCCAAGGGTGGGGGCGTCAGGATGCTCTCCTCACTTGAGGTTTCCGGGAGGACCCTTGATATCACGCACATTGTTGCGGAGTTCTGTTTTAATCCCACATCCCTCGCTCTGGCGAAGTCATCTTTCAACAGACGGCCCTTGTAGAGAAGTTTAATCTGCCGTGTGTCTGCGACACCCAGGGCGTTTGCTGCAGCAAGTTTGACGTTCCCAACTGTGATAATGCCATCACCAATTGCGTAGGCGGGGAAATTTAGTTTGTGCGATGCCCCTCTGTATTTCAGGAAGATCACATCTGGCTCTGACTCATCATTATTACTGCTGCCGTTGCTGTAACAGTAAATTGATTTCTTCTGCTGTCTGCGGGGAGAATACTCCTTATTGTCCCACAGACCGGTATAGTCTGCATCATTAACGGTTACGTAGCTGTAATCATCATCGGTAACGGCTGGCGTGGTGGGAGGGGTATATCGAAGGGGAGACGGAGGAGATGGGAGCCTTCTCCATGGGTTCCAGCTCATCGCAAGAATCGCAAGAAGTAAAGCAATTACTGTGACCGCGAGATGTGTGGTTGAGGATGATGACGAGAAAAAGGAGGGGACAAGGAATTGCAGAGCCTCAAGCGATTTCGCAAGGGTGTTGAGTGGTGAGGACGAGGATAACGATGGTGGGCCTGGTTTGGAAAAAGTGGGAGCAAAATGTGAAATGACACTGCGAAGGGAATCAGGGAGATGTGGTGCCAGAGACTCCAGGTATGAAGCGGAGATCGCGCTGAGGGAGGAAAAGGGAGACCAAGAAGAGGGTGTCATGGAGCTAAAATCCCAGAGAGAAGAGGAGGACAGGAATTGAGGTGATGGGGAGGGGGAGGTTTGGTGCTGCATCGCATAGTTGGCACCTGCAGCCTCAGGGAATTTCTAAGCGTTGACTTTCGGTGCTGGTGGTCAAGATGACTTTTCTGAGCGCATGGCCAACAAACTAGGCCCTCATCAGGTTTTTTAGGGGGCTGCTGTCGAGTCAGGAGGGTCCAAGCCAAGTCCTGCAGCAATATTTTCGGATTTTCATCATTTAATTTTTTTTTTTTTTTTTTTTTTTTGATTTTTTGTGATTCTGCGGCAAAGCATCAACTATTTAAACAGACAAAGAATCACGGATCGAATCATAAATCATTTCCTTCATTTTTTTTCTTTCTTTCTTTTTTACTCCTAATTTGAAAGTATTCATCTACACGGTGTTTCAAACAGATCCTGAATAATTAATTCAATAGACAATGACCTTGTTAGTCACTTGAAATCACCATCGATGGCCTGCAAATGATTTGTTCAGCTACAGAACTCTCCACGGGAAGTGATTTCAATGACTAGCATACCCCGAACAGATATTCAGATGGTTGTATTATTATGTATGGATGTATATTGTAATTTTACAGGGAAATACCATTGCGCTTTGCCAGGCCAGACAAACATCAATAACGTCATTTGCCTGCAAAACCTTCGCGCAAGAGGTTGGCATCTATGACACTTCTTAAACTTCGACGATATGCATAAATAGCTATCCCCGCTCCTTGGACTTCTGCACCTCATAGCCGCAGCTGTCCTTCCGCGGGTCTCCCTCCAAACCACCTCCCGAGACCTGTCGTACCACTCTCATTCCTCCTGTTCCCATTTTCGGGCTCCTGCCTTCCTCCCAACCACCTGGGTCGTGGGATGCTCCCATTATCCCCCCGGAACCATTGCGGCGTGTTGGCTGTTTCAATGGTGTTTTTAACGCGGTGAGCAAATGACTGGAAGAAATTCTCTTCCTCCGACTCTTCTTCTGGTGCCAGCAGCGGCACGCGGCTAGAGGGGATAGCCCGATTCGGCGCTCGGGACTGAGTCTTAGAGCGATCTGCGAGGGGTACTCTATTTGTGGGACCAGCAGGCACAGATGTTGCTGACCTTTGTACCGAAGCCGCTGCCCTACCTGAATTTGGTGAAAGGCCTAAGAAGCTCGGTCCACTTAATTCCCTTTCAATCAATTCGCGTCCTTCCCGCCAGCCTCCAACACCAAACCCACCACCTTCAATCGCCACATTTTCATCCTCATCTTCGAGTAGGCTAAAATCAAACCAGCTCGTAACTCTCCCATACAGGTTGAACAACGTCGCACAGACCGGGATCAGTATAAATATTGGGAAAACGTAGTCGAAGCCCTTGCCCAGCGGGGTAAGGTTGATGAGACGTCCAAGGAAGTGGTAAAATGTCGTCTTCTTCTGGACGTCTTGGGGAAGGAATGTAAGAAAGTTGTAGGCGAGAGGAACTGTGAGTTTGGCTACCTGTCCTGCGTACCAGCACGCGCTTTCGCCGTATGTGTTTCGAGGAACTAGGGCTCGGTTACCCCACACTTTGGCATCTGTGATGCCCACGAATGCTGCTGAGCACATGTAAAATATCCACGCCGCGGATGCGACTTGGCCAATAAATCCAATTGGTTCGGATTTAGTGGGATTGTGGACCACGGAAAGGGTGACAATAGACACCCGAGGAGCAAAGGACTTGACGATCTCAGACCAGACGACGCAGGCAGACGCCAAGGAAAAAAAGCCCGCAAGAGCCAATCTACCAGCTGGTAGAATATGTACGAAGATATAATACCGTATGGTTGGTGTTATAAATGGAAGTGATCCATTAGGAGAGGAACAAAGGGACGGATGAGAAAACTCAAGCCGCTTGGAGGTGGCAGAGTCGATGATACATTGGGTATCAGCAGCTTCCTTAACTAGGCGTTTCCATGTATTCGTGAAACGCGCGTTTTGATGACGCACTCGTGCCAGGCGTCTAGTTACATCTGCGAGATATCGTGTGGTAATGACTGGTGGGACACTTAATCGTGATGTTTCCGCCCCAACAGAGGCCCGAAGTCTGGATTCAGGAATACTAGTCATGTCGACCAATTCATCGATCCATTCTTGCAAGTCTCGTGGGACACCTGTTTTCCGTTCGCGCAACTGGGACACTTGATATTCGAGTTCTTCAAGGTTGGTCATGGAGTCCGTCAGGCGATCATGTATTCGAGGAGCGCGGGCTTGGATCCTCCTCAGTTTGTTGCCCAGATTTGCATTTCTAATAAGGGTGCGAGGTATGGCTACCAGACCATGACCCATCAGGTATATTGCAAGGGCCAGGCCCCAAAAATAAGCTAGGGCCATGACAAGAGTTTTGAGAGATGTGAAATCAAAGCCATTTTGTATGATAATGTAGATAAGACCTGCAATACCACATCCAAGAACGATTAATTGATACCGTCCATTCGAACGCAGAGAGTACAAGATACGGTCTTTCGGGGTGCGATATCCGGAATCAATATATTCGCCAAGGAGAGGGAGAACAACCCTGTAGCAAAAGCAATAACTTAGAATATTGGCTGAATAGATGATTTGCTGGAGGAAAAGGGGAGAAGGATCGCAACTTACCAAGTCATTGCAAATGTCAGCCAGTAAGCAATCCTCCACGAAACGAGCATCACTCGCGGGGGAAACCATATCCCCGAGCCCGATCCTTCATCTCTAGTGCTTGATGTAAGATCAATGGGGACGAGCAAAATCACACTTGCAGGCAGCGCAAGAGACAAAAAGACTGGGAAGGTCAGGAAGGCGGGGGTAGAACGTAAGGGAAGATAGCGTCTTAGCAGAAGCAAAACCAAAATGGCTATCACGAGCAGAGATATGCCCATAAAGATCCCCGAACCCACATGGGTAGGTCTATGTGCAGCGATCGACGAAATAGACATGGCTAGGGACACCGGGGGAACATCAGAGAGAACCTTTGATCAAGGAGGGCTAAGTAGACGGTAAGACTCCCAACGACGAAACATGGTAGGTGTATGTAACTATCACTCAGGCTAGCGTTGCCTTTCCTCTGAAAACAAGCCTAAAAAAGTGGTTTTGTTCAGAGGTATATGTTCATTTGGACATGAGTCGAGGGGGGTATAAAAGGAGGTGGAAGAGAAGAAGGATGTAGATGGAGTGATATAGGCTGGTTGACGATAAGTAGTTCATTATCATTGATAACTAATGGATCCCACCAATGACGCGTTGATCAGTCAAATACAATACCCTGGGTGCCTCGGAGGCGGCTAAGTCACGAGGGCGCCTAATTTCATTATTCTCAGAGCAAGGGATTCGAGAAAGTGAATGATCAGCCGATCACGGGATCACATCGTTGCGCCTAAGCCCTTTTGGGCTGCAAAACTTACCGCTAGTAGGGGGTTTGTTGCGTAAGAGAACCAAAGGCTACGGAGCCTCTGCGTAAACCAGAGAATGTACAAGCGAAATCAATGTTCCAAAACGACAATACAACGGAACTGGTTGTACCCTTATTGTTGAACTAGTGCGGCGTAGCATTGGCTGACTAACTCGCGCCAACCGCTCACTGGCCTAGGTACCTTGGAGCCTCCACCCTTGCTGAGCATCCCATTCCTCCCGTCAGGCTTCTTGGGCTGGCACACGGGTTTCCACACCAACGCTCAACCATCTCCACCACCACCACTACCACTACCAATACCAATACCAACTACCACTGGGCACTACGGTCTCCCACCGCCCGCTTCCACCACTTGCCGCCGCTGTCGATCATCCCTGAACCTACTTCTTGAAGGTTGTTGGTTTCGTGCTGCACTGTGCAGAGCTGGCTGTCTTTCATCTTCTCGGTTTTTTTTCGCCTTTCTCTCGTCTCGATCCTGGGCATGATAGGCCTCAGAACATGCCCCCAGTCGTCGTGCCTAGAAGCTTTGTGAGGCCCATCCTTGCTTAGTTGTCTGCCACCAACATCTTCAACACCAAGGCTAAGGAACAGAGTGACGACGTATTAATTCTTTGTCCATCCTGTCTGGGTCTTCTGCCGTCTCCTCGCACCTGACTACACCCGCTTGCTTCCTCCCCTCAAAACTCGAAATCACGACCTGCTTCAACGGGTCCCGATCTCGCATCAACCGTCTTTCGATCATCACATATATAGCTCTGGCGTTCCTCTTTCTCGCCCCCCCCCCCCCCCCCCCCTGGGAACTTAATCGCGCCCAACGCCTTACCCGCCCTATTTATCCCTCCGTCAAGCCTTGTCCCCTTGCTCTCAACTGCTCTTCTCTCCGTTTGTCGTCATTTCACAACGTTCCGTCCTAATTTTGTGACTACGTGAGATTTCATTTAATTTTCTACACTTTCGTGGTTACAACTCCGGCAAAGGTTTATTGATGGTGGTGAACGTCGGTTGATGCTTAAATCTTAAAAGTCTTGCTATCGTGGAACCTTCTTGAGGCGTTAAACAGGTTCCCGATCGCAAGATGAATCCCGCCAACTTTGTCAGCCATGGAGGCGCAATGCCACTTGGAGACAAACCGCCGGTTCCCCAGATGCAAAGCCAACAATCCAAGAACGAAACCACACATCAAGTCCTTCTCAAAAATATATTTTCAGCTTTGCAGTCGCAGGGCCAATTTCAGGGTTGGCAACGGGAAGTAACTCTTCGAGATCGAGGAGGTAAAATATATCAGATGTAAGATACACTGCGGTTGATCCCTCCCTCGTCTACTCCTTTGCCTGTTGCCTGTCTTGGTTTTTACTTGCTTTGTGGTGGTTTTTATCGCCATTTCATTCCTTGGATATGTCGAAAGTCGTCTTCCAAATTTCAAATTAAATTAACAAATGACTAACTTTACTTGTCTCTTATAGCATTTCTTCATTACGATTGGTCGAACCTCACGTACCCCTTCAGCGGGCTTTATCTGTCGCTGTGTCTTTTGAAGAAAGAATTTTTAAACAATCAAGAGATCGAGTATGTTCTTTTCATTTTAAGACGAACCTGTGTGGCGGTCTTACTAACCTGTTTCAGGTCGAGTATGAAAGGGAATGTAACAACAAACTTGGGCAGATAAGAGATAGTAGACAGCAGCGTGCCGCCAACATGATGCAAAGCGGAATGACCATGGCACACGCCAGCCCTCATGCTGGAATTGCTGCTCCTGGCCAAAATGCCGCACAGACAAACATCTTTCCTACTCAATTTCAACGCCAAATGCAGGGCTCTCCCATACCGATTCAACAACCACAGCATCCAGGGTTGAGAATGAACGCTCCAAATCAACAATCGCCAATGCAACATCCTGGTTTCCTCCAAAACGGTTTACAGCGAGTGAATGCTGGTATCTCTCGTGATGAGGCCGGCGCCCTCCAGCCTCATGAATTAGAACATGTTCGTCAAAGAGCGGAACAAATGATGCAACAGGCCTCACCCGCAACAATACAGAAGCTGAGATCAAGCTTTCAAAATATGCCTCCAGAGCAACTACAACGACTGGCCCGGGGGGGATTCGATCCAGTTGTACATTTTTTCCGCGCACAGGCTACAAGGGAGCTTAGAAGAAAAAACAACCCTCAAGAGATGATGCTCCCTCAGAACACTGTTCTCGATTCCGCGAATAATACGATCGCCAACCCTATGATGACTCCCGCCCAGAGGCAAATACCTCAGTCTCTTATGGGCCTCCAAGGCAATTCTACAATCCTCATGAACGGACAACAGAATCTTGACACTGCAACATATGTGGGAAACATTGACCATATACAAGGGCAACAGGCAGATGGGGTCCGCTCACAAGAAGCTGGCCAACTTGTTGTTCCGGCCAATACCCCCCAGGTCGGAAACCAACCACAATTCAATGCACCCCCGGGCATGTTTCAGGATGGACAGCAGAATGTTAACAGAAGTACCCTTAACCCTATGATGCTGGCCCAGCAACACCAACAACGACAGAACCTTCACAACCAACAAGAAACCGTTCAGCATGCCGCACAGTTTCAAGCACAAGCAGCACAGGTCCAGGCTCAGGTTCAAGCGCAAGCACAGGCACAAGCTCAGGCCCAAGCACAAGCACAGGCGCAGGCACAAGCGCAGGCACAAGCACAGGCACAAGCACAGGCACAAGCACAGGCACAAGCACAGGCTCAAGCACAGGTTCAAGCTCAACAGGCACAGGCACAGGCACAAGCACAGGCTCAAGCACAGGTTCAAGCTCAACAGGCACAGGCACAGGCACAAGCTCAGGCACAGGCACAGGCACAAGCTCAGGCTCAGGCTCAGGCACAGGCTCAAGCACAGGCACAGGCTCAGGCACAGGCTCAGGCTCAGGCTCAGGCACAAGCTCAGGCACAGGCACAGGCTCAGGCTCAGGCCCAAGCTCGTGCCCAGGCTGCTGCTAAAGCACAAATGGCAATGTCATCTCAACCAAATCCGCAGCTTCCTCAATCTTTATCCCAGCAAAGCCCTGCAATGCCCGCGATCAATAGACCTGTCGGGCCCGGCCAGCTTTCTCAGTCCCAGATTGCCCCTCAGGGTAGGCCTCCGTCAAGACCTCCAGGTATGGGTCAAGAGCAGTCGGTTATGCCCAGTCCCCAACCCGGTGTACCTCAGGGACTGCCTGCTAGCCTTCGAAGTCAACTGGCCCAAATGTCACCAGAGCAAGCCAACCAGTTTTTACAAAACAACCAGCGACGTGTTTTTTTAAATAGCCAAGCAATGGCTCGCCCAGGACAACAGCCGGGTGTTCCTGTTCCACAGGTTTTGTCAGATCCAAATCAGCAGCAACAAGCTCCAAATGGGCAGTTGGTTAGTGAGGCGGCAATGCGAAATGCAATGGCTATGCCTCCTCAAACATCCGGCTTAGGCGGGGCCCCACCCCAGAATCAGAGCATTCCACGCCAACATCTATCACAACAACAGCGACAGCAGGAGCTTAAGCTCCAATTCGCTCGACAGCAAAGTGCTAGTATAGAGATGACGGAGGATCAGATTAAAGAAATGGATGGACTTCCTTTTCCTCCCCCACTTGTGAATGCAAGTGCCAATATGGCGCAACCGCTGCCCAAAGGTGTTAGGACATGGGGGCAACTCAAACTTTGGGTAGCCCAAAACCCTCATGCCCTTGGCGATGCCACCCTACCTAAACTGCAGGCCATGCAAAAATATCACTATGCACGGTTGAATTCACTGGGAGAGGCTACCCGAAAATCGGATCCAAGCCTCATAGTGTCTGGAGCCTCACCACCCGTCGTTCCTGCACACTCCCAGCCCTTCAATCCCCAGCAAGGGATCCAGCCAGGGCAACAGCACCGCCCTCTTCCAAACATGCCTATGATGCGTCCAATTACAGCCAACGAAATCCAGAACGCGCGACAAAAACTCGGCCCTCAGTTGCAGAACTTTACAGATGATCAGATCAAAACCCTCCTGGAGCGGAATCGACAAAGACAGTTTATTGAAGCCCGTAATAGGCAAGCAGCAGCCCAAGCACTTGGAGCTCAGTCGATGAATCAACATCAACCATTTCTTCATCCCCCAGTTCAAGCCCAAACCCAACCTCAACCTCAACCTCAACCGCAACCTCAACCGCAACCTCAACCGCAACCTCAACCGCAACCTCAACCACAACCTCAACCGCAACCGCAACCGCAACCGCAACCGCAAGCGCAGGCTCATCCTCACCCTCTGCCTGTGGCGCAGCAGATTCCCGTTCCCTCCTTACAACCACCAACAGCGCAAATAACCCAGGCCCAGATATCTCCCCCAAGCAACAGGCCAGCAGCAGTTACTGCGGTCAAGGCTCCACGTGCGTCAACTGCTAAACAATCGAAATCTCTCAAACGGCCCAATGCTGACGATGCCGTTGATGTTCAAAATCCGATTACCCAACAGCCGCAACGACATACCCCGGTTACCCAGCCTACCACCAAACCGGCCATTCCTGTGACCGCGCAACAAAAGACCCTGCTGGAGGGTCATATGCGGCGACAACAATCGCAACCGAGGCAACCCATTACGAAAGCCATTGCTGATGAAATCTGGAACCGCCTTCCTGAACATATCAAGCAATTATATTCAGAATGCGTTCAGCATGATCGAAACAATACTCCTGTCTCAATGTCACCTGAACACAAAATGATGGTATCAAAAATTCTCACAGATTCTACGGACATGCTCGGGCGGATGGAGGCTTTGATTCACTGGATCGCCAAGTTGCCTAATCAAGAGAAAACCCTTCACGCTCTATTGCAAATGGTATGACATTTTATAAGCTCACGCATGATAGAAGGATCTCAAATGCTAACCTCCCGGCCTTATATAGAGAGTGGCATTAATGAAACAATTCAAGGGCCCCGAGTGGCAACTTGTCGATCAGTTTACCATTTCACAACCACAGGTAGTGTCCGCCATCGCTTATATTAAGAAGTGGTTCGCGGCGATGATCAGTTACCTCCCAAAACCAAACCAGTCATCAGCCGCAACGGCAGCAGCACGAAATGCCGTGCCTCAAGGATCACCGCCTCAACAACAAAACGTGCAGCCAGCCATCCCACCTCTGAATGCGAGCAACCTTCAGCAACTTGAACAACAGCAAGAAGAAGCTTTGCAGCGCACACGGCGAGCAAACACTCAAGTAGCTCCTACTGCTCCGACAACTTTACAGCCTCCCTTCCCATTAGGAGCGCCATCACCACAGGGTGTTCCTCATGCATACGGACCACCTGGCTTGACTAAAGACAAATTAGTAATCCCACCAGCAAAGAGGCGGAAGCAAAATTCAGCGGCAGCCAAGACACCCACGCCTTCGTCAACTCCGGCAGCACCAGCAACGACACCCCAGCCCCAGAAGCTGAGCCCCGCCGTAGCAAACCAACCTTCCCCACCTGTGGCAAGTTCCTTTCGATGCCCTGTATCTGAATGCGAACATCATATAAGAGGGTTTGCTTCTCAAGCAGCCCTAGACACCCATGTTGAGGAGATTCACAAGGTTGAGGAACCCGTTGCAAATCCGCTTGAGTTTGCCCTTGAAAGCTATCGTATTGGCTTGGGTATCGATCAAATTGAAAAGAAAGCACAGGAAGCGGAAGAATCCAAGCAGAAGAACGCTCCTGGTCCTGAAACCCAGCCACAAACACAAGCAAGCAAACCAATAGCTACCCCTAAGATCAAGAGTGAACATATAACACCCGGAGCTACACCTATTGGTCGTTCTGTATGCCAGGTTGGCCCAATAAAATCAGCCTCGCCAGGCTCAAACAACGCGAAAATATCTCAAGAACCCCCCGCAAAAGGAGCAACTACGTCGAATCCCAAGTCCGCGCAAACCAAAAACAGCAAAAAGGATAGAGGTAAAAACGGAGAGCAAGGTTCCCCTCAAGAAGATATGGCCTTTGTCAAGGACCCGTGGGCTGAAAGTGCGATCTCCCTCGAAAGCATCCGTTCCGCGTTCAGTGATGTGGGTGACCAAAGCTTCCCAGGCCTCGGACCGGATCCTATCGATGATGTATTGGCTTCTGAAGCGTTCATGAAAATTCGATCCAATGATACACCGCAGTCTACAGATACGGGACCCAATTCGCAAACTCCCAAGGATACTGACAGTTCCAGGGACGACGACTTAGATGTAATGATGAGTGGGACGAGCGATGATAGCTGGATACCGTCGGACTGGGTTAATCTTCCCGGGCAACTTGAAGGGGGTTTGCTCATGAACGAGCCCTGGGAAGAAATCAATTGGGAGGTCATGGAGAAAAATGAATTCGAAATAGCTGCGAGCAGCTTTGAGCCGATTGTGTACTCGATTTAGCCTGATGAGATTAATAATATTCATTTTTCTCTTTTCTGATTCGGTTAACATATAAGAACTGATGTGGAGGGGAAATATCCCATCTACACAATGGATGATTTTCATGACTTGGTTTTTGATTTCGTTCTTTCTTTCTTTCTTTCCTTGTTTGTTTCTTTTCTTTCTTCTAATCTTTCCGGCATTCACGAGGAATCATTTCCTTATTTTCTTCTTTCCTCGTGATGTTCACCTGCTTTCCGCTTATCATGCTGTTGTTTTCGCTTTGACCAGCAAGGTGTCTGCGGTGGGGTGTTTCATAGATTTCACGGGGGCCATTTGCTTGCACCCCTTTTTCTCGATATATTAATTTCTAGGTGGTGAGCTTGGTGATTTAACAGGTAATTGAACGGCCTTTGTTTGGCTTCTTGATTTGATATATGGTATTTTTCCTCTTCTCCTGTTGCTTACTATTGTTTGCAAATCCGGACAAACACCTCAAAAAAAGGGTGCTTCTAATGTGGTGGACGAAATAGCTGGATGAGAAGTGAATCTTAACAATATAATCAAATGCACTCTCTTTATCTTCTTGTTTTAGTCAATAGTCCATCACAATCTTTTATATGCTAGTATATCAACATGATCTGTTACTTCTGAACAAAGTGAATAGGAAAGTGACTTACGGCTGAGTAGTAATAAATAGATACACTCTGTCAAATGAAAATGTGAGAGATGTAAAATCCATTTGTTTTACAAGACAAAATATAATTTGGTGAACATCATTTAAGGCAGAAATGTGAAATAGAGTTAGGTGAACAACTATAGAGAAAATAGCTAGCGAGAGATAGTTAACTACTTGAGGTATTACTAGATGATTTTAATTTCATCACCTTTTAGTGAGGTCTCTCAACCCCAAACCGGTAATATAACAAAACTGTTGTTAATTATGTTGTGAACGTCAGGGTCATAGATCGGATCCTTGGTGCTAGTTAACTAATATACACGTATATCACGTGCGGTGGGGCGGCTACCCGCATGCCCAACAGGAAGAGCCTTGGCGTTGAGCTGGGACCCAATGCTTGGTTATATCATCACGTGAATAATTAGATAAACGCGTTAAGCGCTGCGATAACAACGCTATTCAGATCTCCCAACCTCAACGAACCATGCGCATAATCCAGCGGGATTGGATCTCTAGTCCGACCCATATCCCCATATCCTTTACCACTGCTTCGAACGGTATAGAATTTGCCTAGACGTTCTTTTGATAGAACCGTCTTCTAGCCTTTGTCTGGCTGTGACCTTCAGGCTCCCTGCCCAAACACCTGCATTCCCAATCCTGAAGAGTATATTGTCCGATACTCTCACCGAAAATGGCTTCCAAGGCTCTTATACCTTTTCTAGTCACCATGATGCTGGTGACTGGTGTTTGCAATACGATTCTTACAAAATACCAGGCTAGTTCCCTCTTGTTACTTATCGTCGTCCAGTGTGTCGGAAGGACTCCACTAACAAATGGTCTTTGACAACAGGACATGCAATGCGTGCGTAACTGCGTGTCTCCCGATCCAAAAAAGAGAAAGGTGTTTGAGCAGCCTGTTGTCCAAACGTATATTGCAAAATTTCCTTCCTTTCCATAGTAAAATGGATATTAATATTGGATATCAGACTACAAATGTTTATCGGAGAAATGGGATGCTGGCTGGTCGTGTTTGGATGCAATATCTGGAATCAACACATTAGCAATAGATTTGGCGCTTCGTCTGAAGCTTCCCTTCTTGCTGGTGGCTACCGACCAGTTGACGGTGCGGACGATGACCTTGCCGACTCCGATGACGAAGTGGACTCTAGCTCCCCCCTGAATGGAAGGGGAAGGCGTCAAAGTTCTTCCAGGAAGCTCTCATCCGTGGAAAATGATGGTAGGATAAAACTTAAGGGATGGAAGGTTTTCCTGTTGGCTGCTCCAGCATGCTGCGATATCACCGGTACAACGCTCATGAACGTTGGGTTGCTTTTCGTTGCTGCTAGCATCTACCAAATGACGCGGGGTGCGCTTGTGCTCTTTGTCGGCCTCTTCAGTGTCCTGTTCCTCCGCCGTAAGTTATACCTGTACCAGTGGATCTCTTTGTTCGTTGTTGTTCTTGGTGTTGGGATTGTTGGACTTGCTGGTGTTATCTTCAAAGATCACAATCCTGAAGCCTTGGAAGGGGTCCTCCAGAGCGTTGTTCAGTTATTTTCAAGGGGGATACAGGAGGAGGACCTTGCGTCCACAACCCCAGTTGCTGTGAAGACTATTATTGGCGTTCTATTGATCGCAGGAGCCCAGATATTCACAGCCGGCCAATTCGTTTTGGAGGAGTGGATTCTTGAGAAATATGCAATGGACCCTCTGAATGTCGTTGGCTGGGAAGGGGTATTTGGTTTTCTAGTTACTCTTGTTGGGATGTTAATCCTCCATCTTGCTATTGGCAGGACGGACAGTGGCAGGCACGGATATTTTGATGTAAGGGAAGGGTGGCACAACATGACCACCAACAGGGCAGTTGCGGTATCGAGTGTACTAATCATGATAAGTATTGGGTACGTGAAATCCCCTCGGACATCTCTCCTTATTCCCAACGTATTTTGAAATGCTCTCAAGAATGTTAACTGGCATTAACCAGTGGATTCAACTTTTTTGGCCTCAGCGTCACCCGGTCCGTGTCTGCCACTTCTCGCAGCACCATCGACACCTGCCGAACTCTTTTCATTTGGATCATTTCCCTTTGCTTAGGCTGGGAGTCTTTCAAGTGGCTTCAGGTCGTCGGTTTTGCCATGCTTGTTTACGGAACTTTCCTTTTCAATGACATCATCAATCCTCCATTGAAAGCCTGTCTACCTTCGAACCCGCACAGGGAAGAGCTACTTCCCCAGGATCCCATTGAACATATCTAGACACTATATTTTTTTTTAACGGTTTTGGGCAGAATTACCTTTTGGCGATAGATACTATCGTTTGGGACAGGCAACTGTCCTGCTTGACATTCCCCGCCACTTTTTTTTTTTGTCACAATCGTTGTGTTTTATTCTATGACCACCGCTTTATGTCGACATTTAAATATTCAGCACTAGCATTGTTTGTGTTTGGATACGGCGCTCTGGGTGTTGGAAACGTGTCATGTCAACTCTTCATTTCGAAACGCATTGGCAAGCATTACTCTAATATGCTATTTATTGTTATACCTTATCCCACAGCTATATTGTTTGCATATCAACTTTCCAGAATTCAAATGTTTTCATGTGATGCAACCGAACTATGATACAATTTGAACCCCTAAATCTTAAGTGCCTTGATAAAGCAGATCCACCAACTTGCCCGAAGAAAGAAAGTAGATCTCTGCTTTATTTCAACGAATCATAAACCTTCTTCTCGACATCTGCCCATAGACCAAACAATTTAACGTCTCCAAACGGCAAGATTTGGGTGCTAATAACCCCAGCTATTCCGTGTTCCCTATCACACCACCAGAACAAATTTGCAATTCCCGCCCACATCCCACTCTTCAAACTCCTACAGGTCACGCTACTCGTTATCATAAATGATAGGCCCCAGCCCTGAGGCTCATTGTTATTCAGGGGATAAAAATCTGGTACATTCTTGACAAAGTCAGGCTTCGCGTTCAAATGTGTGTCTTGCCGGCCAAAGTTTGGGATATGAGGGATCTGATTCTCAAACATCTGGTCGACAGTAGATTTGGTGAGGAGTTGTTGGCCAGTTTTGGGCGATGTCCCGTCGTTTAGCAGTGTGGTGAGATGTCTATAGAGGCTTGGTCAATTCCTAGCCTAAGTGCTTATATTTTCATGGGTTTGTTGTTATAAGGAAAACATAAACAAGGAAAGAAACAGGTACACAGGGAAGGGGTATTATAAATATAAAAATCATCAGCTCACCCGAATAATCCTGTGGGTTGGCGAAACAACCAGCTCCACCAGAATTCAGCATGCCTTTGGTCTCCGTCTTATTATTAGCAATGAGAGGCCAGCGGTACACATGATCTCTTTGCATTAAGATGCCATTCGCGTTCCGCGAATGCATATATGCCAGGTTTGCCTTCATCTCTTCTGAGGGGAGCATGCTGATATTCTTTAACCAGAGAGGCTCGAAGATGTTCTTCTGGAAGTAGTCGTTAAGCAGAACGCCAGTGATGCGTTCGACGATGATTCCGGCCCAATCGATGTTCACATAGAGGCACAGGTTATGATATGAGCATGCGGATGATAGATGATATATATATATATATATATATATATTCCTTGCCTTGGTTTTGCTATGTAATACGCACTCCATATTCAAATCCCTCGCCAGGTTGAGATATCAACGGCTGCAAAACTTCATATATATGGCCGGAGAATTCATCGTAGCCAATAGGTCGATTACAGTCTCATAATTGCTTGTGGAAAAAGGAATACCCAAATCCAGCTATTATCATTTATTCAAGTGAGTATATCTCCCATACCTCCTCAAACTATAGTCCGATGGAGAATTAATAAAAAGAAAAGAAAAAAAGGCAAAAGAAAACACCTCCTCACCAGTATGGGTCAGCAGCATCCTCAGCGTAATGCCCCTTTTCTTCTCCACAAAAAGACCCGTACTTCTGGACGACCTTAAGATCTTTCAGCTCCGGGCATATGCCTTCAACCTGTTCAGCATCATCTAGGGAAAGTTTCCCTTGCTCTACCAGCTGCTTGCAGGCAATCCCCGTAATCATCTTCGTAACGCAATCCAAAAGACAGAGTCCAAAGCCATCGGCTCATTCACACCCTTGCCACGTTTGCCGGCGGCATGGGCAAAAATCTGTTTGCCGTCTCTATTGGCGACGAGAAAGGTTACACCTGGGATTCCTCGCTCCTGGTCCGCACAAGCATCCTCGAGAGCCTGGCGGATGAGGGAGACACATTCGGGAGAGATGTCCTTGCCCATTGCCAATTATGGTAATTTTGGGAGTCTTGAGATCGAAAATGGAGTTAGGGACTCTCTGCTTTCCTGGAAATGTTTTTATATCCAGATTTCAGCACACTGGAAGGACTGAATATATGGGGTTCAGGAATCTGAGGAGGTTGAACAGAGCGTGTCTAGCTCCAGTTTCCCCACTTCAGTTCTCTTCTTGAGAATGCTTGTCATGCCATCCCCGCTGCCGGGAGATCCTACCCCTCCTCTATCCATGATTTTAGTCTCCTTGGGGGTTAAGATGAAACCGGTTGCAAGAACATTTCCCTACTAGATAGCTTCTAGAAAAACTCACCATACCACTTTTGCCCTAGGCTAGCATACGTATCGCCATGCAAGACTTTCTGGGGCGATCCGTATTCGAAGACACATGGCATATAGGTAGTTAATGGGATGTAACAAGATAAGAGCCGGAGTTCCCGGTACGTAGATGCGATTCCTGTGCCTTGACGGAAGATTTCGCTCCACATATATCACCGCTAGATGTAGTTCCTAATGAAACCTATGGCCAATTAAGTGAAGCCCTTCGTTTTTAACATCAAAAAGAGCACATGCCTATTGAGAACAGACATGACCCGCACTAAACACATTATTTATCCCCTTTCGTCTTTCAAGCAAGGTATATATCACTGGAAGATACGAGTCTAGCAACTTGTGTAAAAAGAGTCCTTGCACTAACCATCCGCCCCCGACTGCCTGGCGAAATCAAGCGGTCGAATGTGACTTGGTGGGAATGAAATCTGCTAGCAACCAACCTGGGAGCCATCAACACCTGCCTGTTTCTCGCTTAGATAGATTTGTTCCTTCGTGGGACGCCATTTTGCAGCAGTCATCAACTGCTCATTCGTGAGCATCACATAGTTAATCAATCACTTGTCCGCTTGGATCAAAGGATTGCAGGACACCATTATCGCCCACGTGTACGAACCTGTTGAGATTACTCTTCAAACCGTGGATGATGTCAGAGAGATGTTGCCCACTCTCCAGGCTTATCAGCATATGTTCGGAATGGTGCATCGGGACACGAAGTACAATGATTTATATCCAATTATATCCAATAGGTGACGATTCATGTCTTTGAACTTCCTGAAGGCGCTGCTTGCCCAGGCAGTGTTAGAAGCACAAGACAGACCAAGCGTGTAGGGTTAATCATCGGTGGGATAAATTTTTCGATTGATCAGTCTCGGAAGAACTCGCACTTACAGCATCTATCTTTTTCCTGGACTTCTCAGGATTATATAGACATCGTTTCGGAGCAAACCTTGGGATTTCGTATCGGGTAACAAGACCTTACCTGGATGTAGGTACCCGGACAGATCTCGGGAGAACTGGGGCACACAGTTCGTCATGGGTCGGAGTCATCTAACCAGGTGTCAAATTTTCGGCAGAAATACCTGCCTATATGGATGTGCTCTGCCCGGGGATACCTAGGGTGAGGCTTTTTGGTAATCAAAGATGTTCCAAAGGTTGCTTTTGACCGGACATCCATCACTATACGTAGTATTGTAGAGTCAAGGGCAGAGCATAGCGTTACAGAGAGTAGTAACAGGCCTTTGAAGGGCATAATATGTGCAAAATAGACCACTCGAGAGCAGTAGCTGTTATGTATTCATCTAATTAGAGCGAAACAACAATGAGAAGAGCAGAGTTAAAGATAGAGAGTACATAGATCAGTCGATGATTGTGTGCAAAAGACCATGAATACATGCCTGATTCAGAATAGCAACTGGTTACAGTTCTGTGATTTTAAGCTTAGTTACTGTTTTAAAACCATGATCAATTCTGGTTAACCCAATCTAAATAAACACAGTCTACTATTACAAGAAGCGATAAGATATTTAGTTACTGTGTGGGGTTATGACTAGCCATGTTTAAACCCACCAAGCTTTTTCCTGGCTGAATTTACAGCCAGGTCATTAACTTATCGGGGTAAGCAGTGCAATTGTCAATCCCCACCACACCAAGATGGGGCGGGGAATCAGTAAACATTTCAAGCTCATTTAGCGTAGTGACGGATCAACGATCCGTACTCCGTACAGAGATAACGAGTTAGTTAGGTTCTCTTAACTGGTTCAACTAGTTAACCTGGTCTTAGGTTGGAAACGCTCAAACTGTGGCGGATCGTCTCTAGACTCCGGCGGGCCTCGGTTAATTCAAGGGATCGTGATCAAGACTCTTTCTTTGTCCATACGAACAGGTGCATATGAATAATACTCGGGGGAAATTCGAATCTGTCTGGTTTCCTTGACACTCCGCAACAATTTTGATTAATATTGATCAAGATGATCAAATCACATTAACATCCCAAGATATTTCTTTATATCTTAACTATATGGTGGTTCCCCCCCATCCAGAGCGTGAACACCAGGACTTGTTCTGAGGTTTGCTTACGAACCTGGGACAGGTTGGATCCGAGGTATATACGTACCTAACTTTACAAAGGGCCAGCAGTCTATGATTTCGGTATTCGGCATGCTCCGTATATTGTTATGCTTTGGATTAGTTGCAGGCGTCCATCACAGAGAACCTATCCCTAACTGCGGGAGCCTTTGAATGAAAACCTTCCAGTAGTTAACGGAAAAAGAGCATCTATTATGTTAACTTGTTACTCATACGCTGCGATGCACCCTCTATCCCACACCGCAGACCCAGGTACCAACCTCTCATTTGGTCATAAAAAGCCGAACCTGTAACGGCGGGACTAGAGCCTGCAAGAGGGACCATTCTCTTATCGGATTTCTTATACTTCTCGACTCTGTTTCTTCTTCTGCTTGCGCAAGTCTATTCGCACCAGTGTGCATGTAGTTTCTCTAGGTTATCTGAGTAAGGTATGTTCAGCAGCATGAATATAAATTCATTTACTATGTTTGAGGACGAAAATCGACGTTATTCAAAAGATCCAGTAACAAATACACAAGGGATGAAGCAAAATCACAGGAGTTTAGTATACAAACTAACAAGTCTATGAGGTATCAAGGCTAAGGATAAAGATAAACCAAAAAGAAATTCACACACAAAGCATTTGACAATTTTATATTAGCAGGGTCGAGAAGGAAGCGCGCAAACTAAACAAGCTAGGCACTGTGAACGGAAGAAAGGAAAGACAACGTCTGATGGCTCGATATCTTTCCGCATAACCCTGCCAATTTTCTTCCAATTTCATTCCTCAATTGGTGTCTTCCAAGGGAGTAATACGAAAGTGGCTTCGTCTTATTAGGTGACGAGGTGTAAACCTAGGAGTGTCCGAGGTATTTCTGTATCTAAACAAGAACATAGAGTGCGCACATCTAACTCCAGAGTCAGTTCTCAAGTCATTTCCTCAACCGATCTAGTTCGAGGACCCAACGTACCAGGGAGAGACCGATAATCATGGAAATCCAAAAGCAAACATTCTAAATGAAGACTCAAAGATTAACTTGGGTATGAGTGATTGTAAAAGTAATGCACTACTGACATTGAATGTTTTCCGACCCCTGACAAGCCTGGAGCGCTGTACGGCTACAATAGGTAGCTGCGACATCATCGCAAGAATCCCATACCCTCGAATTTTCTTTGTGATACAGGCCATAACCAGCTCATGTCCGAGGGAGCTTATGAAGAATGTAAGAGCCATTGCCCCAGAGCTGGAAAAGTGATGTAAGGAGGAGAAATAAACATGGCGTCGAAGGAAATGATGGACAGGGATATTCCACTCTCTAGAGAACTCCAGCCTACACGAACAGACCATGTTAGCATATTGAAAATAATATGTTCCATAGCAAAGCGATGAGGAGACGGCGTTCGTACCAGTCGCAGGAGTTCCACCAGTCAGCATAGAATTTGCGATCTGCAAAGCGCGTAATCTCCGCAAAGGCATTCAGCGTATATTCAAAAATAACAAGAAACACCAGTAGAAAAGTTATTACAAAAGGTAATAACATCATGCTAATCGTTTCTGCCAGGACCAAAACCTTCTCGGACTTGCTGCCAAGGCTCTGCAGCCTTTCCGCAGATTCGTCGAGTACGGGAATGATGAATTCTTCGCTAATATTTGTAAGTAAGAATATGCAGCCAAAAACGGCCAAGGTTTTGAAGAAAACTTCTGTCCATCGGATTTCCTTCGTGCGTGGATATTCGAGTTCGTAGCATAGAGTAGGGCAGAGCAGATAATCAATGTAATTGCACAAGGTAAGATTCTGGGGGTATGAAACGTGGCCGAGAGGAGACGTTAACTCTTTTGCAAGGTCTGAGCGGAGTTTGGAAAGCGATTGTTGGAATTTCTCTTCTGTTTCGTTAGACTCCGATTCCGTACTCTCGTCCATCGTCCGACTCTTAGACCGTGGATAGCGCACAGCTGCACACAATGATTGGGACTCTGGTATGTCTAAAGCGGATAGACGAAGTTCGGTCTCCCTCAAATGTCCATTGTAGAAGGCGTAGGAATGCATTTTCATTAGAAGCGTTAACGTATGTAAGATAAAGAATACTTGGGCGGTCCAAGTCCATTCAAGTAGGAATGGCACACTGAAGGAAACAGATAATCAGTATATTGCTTAGTTCTATGATTATGATAACGCGAAGAGGGTACATACGCTACCCATAGAGAGAGCCATGCGAATTGAAAGATACTTTGCAATACCACCCCTCCTCTCGACCACCTTAGCCAGCCTCCGCCGTTTCTAATGATTAAATGGAATGGAAGAGAGAATGCGGTACTTGCGACCATGGCAAAGTCACAAAAACCCAATTGCCAGACATTCGCAGAGAACAACAACCACACTTGTATGCGAAATGGATAACCGGTATCTTTTATGTTGCGCACAACCGTTGTCATCACCATGACAAACAGACTAACCCAGAACAACGAAAAGAAGCCATGGAAATCTCGATAGTCGCTATTTGGGTCGAAATGTGATACCCTGGGTTTGTATTCAATGGAGTAGAATAATCTCTGTCTTGCCTGAGCTCGCATCTGCTTCCTTGCGCATGACATCGACTGTACAGAGGGAGGCGCATCGTCTGGAATAGGAGTTGAACGGCCACTTTGACGAAGAGGTTAGGAACAGCAGGAGTCGCACAAAGGAGGAGATATTGGGAGAACAAATTCAAGGGGAAGAAAGTATCAACCTTGGTATATCTAATAATATTCTATCCACGCCTGCTGGCGGAGTGAGAACGTGCTCTTCATTGTGGTTTCTCGACCGGACTGCTCGTGGCCGTAGGACGCCGGCTCCGGCATCCCCGTTGAGTTGCCCGGCGGGCATGGTAAGGAAGGATAAACGAAGGACTGTAGGATAGGAACAGAAATGATCGTGGGTGACAGGAAGAGATTATAACACGGTAAACATGGTCAATATATGTCATTGACGAAGATACCGCCGGCTCAATGCCTCGGGATTGAATAAACAAACACCCCCATAAATAATATTTTTCACAGATGCCAGAACGGTGTTTTCAGGTGAACCTTCCCGGATGATGTCAGCGCTCCCGTAGCCGCACGCCGCTCTAGCGCTGATTAGGAGTTTTGCTGACTTTATGAAGGAATGATGGATTGGAAGGCTACAGAGCCTGCATAACTCTCCTTGTAGAGGTTAAACCAGCACTAAGAAATCTGTCAAGCTTTCTTTGACCTGCAGAAAATACGGAGTCGCTGTTAGTCAACCATCAGCCGCTTCGGCGCATTCTCAAGCTCTGACCCGGCTTTTATATGCGTCCACCTAGAATAGGCCCATCTGGTAATAATAGAAACATATCCCACTGAAGTCCCTTGTACTGTTTACTATCCAATTTTCTAGCCTGTTGAAATCTACCCGAAAGACTCGCAAAAGAGCTGGATCAGGTAGACATATTCACAACCCGGGGGTGGGTGTGTTTGTGGCCGAATTCCAGGGTGTATGTGAGCCATAAATGGGTCAATCACCTTGCAACTATAGAACATTTGAAGCATACGCAATGCATAGAAACGAACCCCAAGTATGTGTATAAAGACTCCGCCTGGTGAATGGATCCCATCTGGCATTCGTAGGAGCTCAAAGGAAACTTCCACAACATGTTGTGTTCAAACTACGAAATACTTAATATTTAGCTCCTCTGTATATCATCCTGGTAAACTGTATACTCCGTACATAGCCTTGAAATAGTGTAGCCAAACTCAATAACAGAGCAGTTCTCCGTACCTAATAGGTACATCAACTCATCCATCCCAGGTTTTAAAAATGGAGTAAATCACGTGATATATGAAAGTGGATTTCCTGCTAGACCGTATATGGCTAGCGGTGAAGTTTACCCATCCTTGGGCAGAACAAGATCGCTGACGGCCATTGAATCTCGCGAGATATGTGAAAAGCAAAAGTGAAAACAGGGACTGGACACGCCAAACGCTCCTCAGAGGCCCAGAAACGAACGACATCAGAGTAGACCCTCCCGTTTCAAGGTCCTGGTGCCCTTGGTGTCCAACTACTTTTCGTTGTGCCTCTTTTGGGGTCCTTGCGACCACCATGAGTTCCCGTAAGTTCATGTTACTCCGCCACCCCCCTCCTCCTTTCTCTCCCCTGCTTTGGAACCTCTGTCTAATATCAATCCTAGTAAAGCAATTCATTCGAAATGTGCGAGCGTCAAAAACTATCGCGGATGAACGGTCGGTGATTCAGAAGGAGAGCGCTGCGATTCGAGCCAGTTTCAGGGAAGAGAGTGCAGATTCAACTATAAGGTGTGTGGGGAAGACAACGTTAGGTATCTGGCAGAACCCATTTCTAACGCGGTTTTACAGGAGGAGGAATGTGGCGAAACTACTCTATCTTTTTACGTTGGGTGAGAGGACGCACTTTGGTCAGATAGAATGCCTCAAACTCCTGGCATCCCCGCATTTTGCGGACAAACGATTGGGATATCTAGGAACAATGCTGCTCTTGGATGAGAATCAAGAGGTTCTGACATTGGTAACGAATTCTTTGAAAAAGTTGGTCCTGCGAATCTTATTCTATCCCCTTTTTATCTTTTTAAAAAGAAAATTAACTTTTTGCCAATTGTGCCGCGCAGTGATCTAAACCACTCGAATCAATATGTCGTTGGTCTCGCCCTCTGTACATTGGGAAATATTGCTTCTATTGAGATGTCGAGGGATCTATTTCCCGAAGTGGAGTCTCTCATATCCACAGCAAATCCCTATATCCGCCGAAAGGCTGCTTTGTGTGCCATGCGTATCTGTCGAAAAGTCCCCGATCTCCAAGAACATTTTATAGACAAATCCAAGGCTCTTTTGTCGGATCGAAACCATGGTGTCTTGCTGTGTGGCCTCACCCTCGCAACAGAGTTCTGTGAAGAAGATGAGGCAGTAGGTGGACATGAGGTTATTGACAAATATCGACCCCTTGTCCCAGGCCTCGTCAAGGTTTTAAAAAGCCTTACGACTTCTGGGTACGCTCCGGAGCACGATGTCTCTGGAATCACCGACCCATTCTTGCAGGTAAAGATCCTTCGGTTCCTAAGAGTCCTCGGCAGAGGCGATGTCGCTACGAGCGAATTGATCAACGATATCCTCGCCCAAGTCGCTACTAATACTGAGTCCTCCAAAAACGTTGGAAATTCCATTCTTTATGAGGCTGTCTTGACCATTCTCGACATTGAAGCGGATTCCGGTCTTCGTGTGCTAGGAGTCAACATCCTCGGAAAATTCTTAGCTAACAGAGACAACAATATTCGATATGTGGCGCTCAACACCCTCATTAAAGTAGTGGCTGTGGAGCCCAATGCCGTCCAAAGACATCGAAACACTATTCTAGAATGTTTACGGGACGCCGATATTAGCATCCGGCGGCGGGCTCTGGACCTTAGCTTTACCCTTATCAATGAAGGCAACGTCAGAGTTCTTGTCAGAGAACTCTTGGCGTTCCTTGAAGTTGCCGATAACGAGTTCAAACCCATCATGACAACCCAGATAGGAATAGCTGCCGATCGATTTTCCCCCAATAAACGATGGCACGTCGATACTATGCTTCGGGTCCTTAAACTTGCTGGTAACTATGTCAAGGAACAGATTTTGTCTTCCTTCGTTCGCCTTATTGCAACAACTCCAGAACTCCAAACCTACTCCGTCCAGAAACTTTACACTAGCTTAAAGGAAGATATCTCGCAAGAAGCCTTAACCCTTGCTGCTTCCTGGGTTATTGGCGAGTATGGGGATGCTCTCCTCCGTGGTGGACAATACGAAGAGGAAGAACTAGTGAAGGAAGTTAAGGAAAGTGATATAGTGGACCTTTTCACCAACATACTTAATAGCACCTATGCGACCCAAGTCGTGACCGAATACATTATTACGTCTGCAATGAAATTATCGACAAGAATCACGGAACCCGCACAAATCGAGCGTATTCGACGCCTTCTTAGCAGTAGATCTGCAGATCTGAGCGTCGAAATCCAGCAAAGAGCGGTAGAGTACACTAATCTGTTTGGGTATGATCAAATTAGGCGTGGAGTGCTGGAGAAGATGCCTCCCCCCGAAATCCGGGAAGAGCAGAGGGTATTAGGGGAAGCGACAAATAAACGGCAAAGCAGAATGTTGAAAGACAAGTCCAAAAAAACTGCCAAGCCATCAGAGCAGGATATACTCCTCGATCTTATGGGTGGCTCCGACGATGGTTCCGCCAATATCACCTCCACGGCCAATGAATCCCAGAACACGGCTGAGCTATTGGCCGACATTTTGGGCGGAGGCTCCTTACATGCCACTACTCCCAGTCCTTCTCAACCCGCACCCGCCCAGTCGTCCAATATAAGCGCTATCATGGATCTTTTTGGTTCGAACGGCACCTCACCAGCACCTCAGGCGCCACAGCCTTCCTCATCGATTGGGCTTCTGGGAAGCCTCGAGACACCTCCCGCTCAAACGCCTCCCCCCAGCTCTGCACCTCCTGCTCAAACGGTATTCGAGAAGAACGATTTGCTATTGGCACTTCAAATCCAACGGAGTAGCGCTGGAGCTCAAATATTGGCTCGTTTCCGGAACACCTCTGCTTTTGACCGCTTCTCCGGAGTGGGGTTGCAGGTGGCGGTACCTAAAACTCAAAAACTTCAGCTCAATGCCATCAATAAGTCTGATCTCGAAGGTGGAGAAGAGGGAACTCAGGGAATGAGAGTTACGTGTATAAATGGGGTAGGTATTTTATTCTGTCTTTCCTTTACGTCATCCTTTCTTTTCTAACCTCCCTACCACAACCATTCATTCTGTTTTCTGTTTTCGAAGAATCATTTTTGATTCCTGACTAACGACTCATGTTTTTTGCGCAATCGCAGCCCTTGTCAGGGAAGCTTCGACTTCGTCTCAGAGTCACCTACTCCAAGAACGGAGCACCTCCAGTGACTGAGCAGCTATCTTGGACAGAACCTTGAGATTGAGAGATAATGTTTGGTAATGTTGGTCGTGACCTTTCAACTGAGCGCCTTGCTCTTTTTTTTTTTTCCTCCCCCCCCCCCCCCCCCCCCC